AAAAAAAAAAAAAAGAATATGGATTTTTCTGGCTGGGCGTGGTAGCTCCTATCTGTAAACCTAGCACTCTGGAAGACAGGCGAGTGGATAACTTGAACTCACAGGTTCGAGACTAACCTGAGCAAAAAAGACCCCATCTCTAATAAAAATACAAAAACTGAGGCAAGAGGATCACTTGAGCCTGAGTTGGAGATTGCTGTGAGCTATTGAGTCCATGGCACTCTAGCCAGGGCGACAGCTTGAAACTCTGTCTCAAAAAAAAAAAAAAAAAGACTGAGTTTTCTTTCCATAGCCAGGTTACAATAATGGCATGTACCTATAGTCCCAGGTACTTGGGATCCTCAGGGGTGAAGCTTGCTTGAGCCCAGGAGTTCAAGGCAGTGTACTACAATACACCTGTGAATAGTCACTGCACCCTCCCTGGGCAATATAGTGAGATCTCATCTCTAAAAACATAAATTTTTTTCCTTCAATAGAAAAGAAAGAACTTACTGAATAATAAGGTATAGTTATGAGTTAGGAGTGATTTGGGTTCCAATTTGGATTTGTATTTTACCAACTGTACAATCTCAGGCAAGCCACAACTTCCTCACTAAAGCTTGTATTTCCCTAACTGCAAAATGGAGCTAATAACAGTACCCATCTCATAAAGCTATTGTGAAGATTCATAAAATGACAGACAAAAATGACTCAGTACAGTCACAAACACTGCATAATAAATCTTTAAATAATATATATATTCTAAAAAAAGTTATTCTAAAAAATGTGAAGTTTCTTTTACTATCTCATAGGTTCCAGACGAATTCTAGATTCAAGTTTATTATCAAAGCACACCCATTTGAGACGCATATATATAATTTTAAAAAAACAACAGTATGTATTGCATTTTAACAATGCTGTCAAAATCTGTTAATACTGACCACAGGCCTTCCAGCTGCAGTTGGTGGTTGCTTTGCTAAAAGGGACTGAAAAATAAACAAAAGAATCCTAGTTTAGACATGCACAGTATGTACTGCTGTATTTTTAAAGAAAATATATACAAGAACAGTTTACCCATTAATCATATCAAATCTGTTTCTAATGTAATTTCATACCTGAAGCTTCATAAGAAATACTTGGTCATCTTCTGCCATAATTTCCTTCTCATGCACAAACTGAAATGAGCAACATATAAGTGAGCAGGTTTAATATTTATGCTAACATTCTTGATGACTTCTAGATTAGACTACTAAGAAGCAATTCATAAATACAAACATTACCTACACTATATATTTACATGAGTGAGCTGTCCTACCCAAGCTCTATAGTGCAGCTGTCCAATACTACCCTTCAGTGATGCAAATGTTCTATATTTGTACTGTTTACTAGGGTAGGCACTAGCCACCAGCGGCTACTGAGCACTTGAAATGTGACTTGTGCGACGGAGAGAACTGATATTTAAATTTATTTTAATTTTACTTTACATTTAAAAGCTATACATGGCTAGGGGCTACTATACTGAACAGCACAACCATAGAATTTTGTTTATAAAATTTTATTTACGAAGTTTGCTAAAGAACAAGGGAACCCTGGTTTCCCTGAAATAAAAATGCAGTGGCTTTTCTAGCATCTGAATAATTAGGAAGAGGAGATGCAAAAGTTTTCTGCTTCTATTCTTGCTATACAACACACACTGAGTCTATTTTCTTCCCAGGAGCAGGAGTGCTCCTTTTAAAAGGTTAAGTCAGATTACATCACTCCTCTGCTCAAATTCTCCAATTACTTTCCATTTAACTCAGAAGGAAATCCAAAGTTCTTACTGTAGCCTTAATGGAGGCCTCACCATAACTAAACTACCTCTAATCTACCACTCTGTCCCTTTGCACAGCTCTTTCCAGCCTCTCTGCCTTCTTTATACATTCCTGCCTCAGAGTACATGCACTTTCAGTTCCCTGGCCTTCAACATCTTCCTTTTTTTTTTTGGACAGAGACCCTCTGTTGCCCCAGCTAGAGTACAGTGGCATCATCATAGCTCATAGCAACCTCAAACTCCTGGGCTCAAACAATCCTCCTGCCTCACACTCACTCGCTCTTGCTCAGGCTGGTCTCCAACTACTCACTCCAGCTGAGTAATCCTCCCAGCTCAGTTTCCCAGAGTGTTACAATTATAGGTGTGAACCACTGAGATCTGGCCTCCTTCTCCCCTCATCAGACCTTCCCTCTGCCTAAAACAGAATCTCTCCAAGCCTAGTCCTCCCAGACTTCTCACTCACTCTCTTTACACCTTGCTTTATTTCCATAGCACTTGTTACCACTTGATAGATAGTCTCAGAACTGCTTTATCATTTGTATCACCTTCTTTCCTAGTCAACACCTAGCACCTAAACGGTGCCTGATTTGGTGCTCAATAAATATTTGCAGAATGAATAAAAGAAAAAGAAAATTTAAAGATAGCATTTTACTGGCAAAAATAAAAAACTTTTTTTTGCTTGTTTTGGTTTTATATGTGAATTTCCTTTAATAGACAAGCTAACCAAATAACACACCAACTGATTTTTCATTTGACCTTAACTTTCTTATTACTGATCACAAACAGATATTGAATGCTTTATATTGTGAATGGATTCTTAAAACTCACAATATATGTTAAATCAAAATTATTTGCTGGCTTGGCACCCATAGCTCAGTGAGTAGGGCACTGGCCACATACACTGAAGCTGGTGGGTTCGAGCCTGGCCCAGGCCTACTAAACAACAATGACAACTGCAACCAAAAAATAGCTGGGCACTGTGGTGGGTGCCTGTAGTCCCAGCTACTAGGGAGGATTAGGCAAGAGAATCGCTTAAGCCCAAAAGTTTGAGGTTATTATGAGCTGTGTCGCCATGGTGCTCGACCAAGGGGGTGACATAGTAAGACTCTGTCTCAAAAAAAAAAAAAAAAAATTTTCTCCTGGCATGGCACCCATAGGTCAGTGGTTAGGGTGCCAGCCATATACATTGAGGAAGGTGGGTTCAAACCCGCCCGGGTCTGCTAAACAACAATGACAACTGTAACCAAAAAAATAGCCAGGCATTGTGGTAGGTGCCTGTAGTCCCAGCTACTTGGGAGGCTGACACAAGAGAATCACTTAAGCCTAACAGTTTGAGGTTCCTGTGAGCTGTGATGCCACTGCATTCTACCGAGGGCAACATAGTGAGACTCTGTCTCAAAACATACAAACAAAAAAACCCCCAAACCCAAAATACTCCAATGAGCATTTCCTTTGAGCATCATGTCAGCCCTCAGAAAGTTTCAAACTTTGGAGCATTCTGGACTTCAGATTAGGAATACTCAACCTGTATATAAACACATTCATTTGTATACAACTTTTCAGAAACATCTGAGTTACATAACTATAAAACATCATACACTGCTTAACATGGAATCAAGATAGATGAAAGAAGACTAACTTCTGAAATCTGATTTAATAATTACAGAATGACAAGTTATAGTCAAGAGTAAAATTAAATATAGAGAACTAGAAGCTACTGAACCACTGTGGACTAATTTGGGTAACTAAAAGATCCAAGATTTGCCTCAAAAGGTAAAACTAAGAAAATTACTCTAATAATGTTTTAGGTTGGAAATTTCACAGCTTCTACCTATTCAAACTGTTAAAGATCAGTATATTCACTCATGCCAAACCATGATTTTCAAGGCACTACATCAGAATATGGATTCCATACTAGCATTTGTTAATATAAATATGCCAAAGTTACTGAACAAATGTGAACTCTAAGTTTGAAACAGCCAAATTAGACTTAGAAATCTCTCCCCCCCAGATAGAAAAGAATATCCTTGCCATTCTACCAACAATTTTAAAGCTATGAATTTACCCTACAGTTTTAAAGCCTAAATACTAAGACTACTTAAAACAGTTACCTTTCGGACAGGAGGTTTAGTTATGATGTCTTCAAAATTATCTTCTGCTTTTAATGTTTGAAAATTTTCATGCAATATTCCAATTTTCTTATCATTATCCCACCCTGCTGGACTGAAAAGAAATGCATACAATGAGTTCAAACATTAAATAGTCATTCTTTCATTTAACACACAATCATGTGAAAGGAACATTTTTATGATGTCAATTTGACCAATTATGAAAAACTACTTAGCTTTTTGTTTCAGTAACTTCTACTTATCAATATCCCTGATCTTAAATGTCCATTACAGTTTTCTCTTGGGGTGAGAAGTTAATTATTGCCTTCTAATTTTATTCAAAATCCTATCTATATTACACATTGTGTCATTTAGGTATCATTATCAGTTAAATAAGTAGATAAAATACACTAATAGATGCACCCATTAGACAGTTCAGCTATAATAGCAAAAGCCTTTCAAAAAGGGCTCAGGCCAAGCTCTGCGCCTATGGCTCAAGTGGCTAAGGCGCCAGCCACATACACCTAAGGTGGTGGGTTTGAATCCAGCCCAGGCCCGCCAAATAACAATGATGGCTACAACCAAAAAATAGCCAGGTGTTGTGGTGGGCGCCTGTGGTCCCAGCTACTTGGGAGGCGGAGGCAGGAGACTCGCTTGAGCTCAGGAGTTGGAGAAGCCTCTACCCAGGGGGACAGTTTGAGGTTCTGTCTCCAAAAAAAAAGGGCTCAGGCCAGTAGTAAATCTAATAGGCCATCATAAACAGATCAAGACAAGTAATAAAACCATCTAGGAACAGATTTTCATTTCCTTCTTATGGACAGGTTTACTGTTCCCATCTCAAAACTGAAAATGATAGTTAATCAAATAATACAGTGGTCCCCAACCTTTTCGGGACCAGGAACTGATTTCATGAAAGATAATTTTCCCACAGATGTGGGGTGGAGAGTGGTGGTTTCACAATGATTCAAGCCCACTTCATCTCCACCTCAGATCACGAGGCATTAGATTCTCATAAGGAACACGCAACCTGAATTTCCCACACAGTTTACATAGAGCTAGCATTCTTAGGAAAATCTAATGCCATTGCTTATCTGACTGACGCCAATGTGAGTAATGGGGACCAGCTGTAAATATAGATAAACCTTCTCTCACTGTCACTTCCATATGTCACTTCCATACTCACCTCCTGCTGTGTGGCCCAGTTCCTAATAGGTCACAGACTAGTAGCAGACCGTGACCAGGGACTTGGGGACCAGAGAAATAATACATAATAAAGGCCGGGCAAGGTAGCTCATGCCTGTAATCCTAGCACTCTGGGAGGCAGAGGCAGGTGGATAGCCTGAGCTCAGGAGTTCAAGATCAGCCTAAGCAAGAGCAAGACCCTGTCTCTAAAAAAAAAAGCCAGGCATTATGGTGAGTGCCTGTAGTCCCAGCTACATGGGAGGCTGATGCAAGAAGATTGCTTAAGCCCAAGAGTTTAAGGTTGTTATGAGCTATGACACCATAGCACTTTACCGAGGGCAACAAAGTGAGACTGCTTAAAAAAAAATAGTAATAACAATACATAAGAAAATATTTAAGAATATGAAAGCTACAACCTGATTATAGCCCAAGAATATGGGGAAGGGGGTGAGGGAGGGAAGGGAAACGGTGGGAGGAAGGATGGTAATTGGTGGGACCATACCTACGGTGCATCTTACAAGGGTATATGTGAAATTTACTAAATGTAGAATATAAATGTCTTAACACAATAACTAAGAAAATGCCATGAAGGCTATGTTAACCAGTTTGATG